AGCAAAAAGGAAAAGAAGGACCGAGAACAGTGCCTGGCAGAACACCAGAAGAGACAGGTGCAGAGTCGGAAGATGCACCGTCAAGCAGGAAATACACACACACATACACACACACTGTGACATTCAAGGAGCACCTGCCGCTGACCTGACCCCCAGCTGCAGAGAGGTCAGCTTGGAGGCTTGGAAGCCCACCGCAGGCGGCCACGCCCCTGGGCAGAGCAAAGGGAGGAATGACCAGTGGCATGACGCCCCCCCACCCCCACATGAAGGTCGGGTACTTAAGGACGCGTTTTGACCCGGTCAAGAGAGTCAGTCACCAGTGTCTGTCAGGGTCACGTCAGTTCACCTCGCGGTACCTTTGCCCTGGTTGGGCTGGGCCGCCCTGTGACCCCAGGCGACCAGCCCGTAACCCAAGCCTTGTCTCGTGTTTTAACCACCCGTGTGCTGAACTCTTACCAAATAATAGATTAAGCCACTCAAGCTTTTACTTTCTTGTCACGAATGTTTAGAGGTCTTCCCTATATAACTCTTACATCTGGTGGCAGAGGTGGTTGTCGCGCGCCGGACGGCTATCCACCCATTCCTACATTCTTACAAGTTTCTTCATCCTCCAAAGAAAAACCGCTCGCCTTTCAAACAAACGCAAGATGACATTCTTCTTAAAAAACTGTGAGTATGCATTTTGGGCCCCTTCTGTGTTAGGCCGTGTACAGCCAGCTCATGTTAAAGTGCTAATTATAGCAATGGCATACTCTTATTTATCATTCTCACTTCTCATTACTCTCAATCGCGGTGTGGAGTTAAACATTATGAAATCGTTCATTTAGTATTTATTATTTTTGTAATTAAATTATACTGTTTCAATTGTATCGAATTTAGCGCGTTTGTGATTTTATTCTTTTCACGAATATTCACTCATTAAATTCTTCTCTCACCATTTTCTGTCTTGACCTGACCTCACCTGAAAGTCATTAGTCAGAGCCCACTTGGGACAGCTGTCGTGACCTGACCTCACCTGATGGTCATTAAGTCAAACCCCGCTTCGAATAGCTGGGGCAATCTGACCTCACTTTCACTAGGAGTGATTATCACAGGAAATGCCTGGAGAAAAACAGCTTGCAAATTCTCTTTCATTGTTTGAACTAGTTGTCAAAATATAGGGTTAATGCACAGAAACCGTTACATGTTCATTGGTGACACGTTCTATCGGCGCTAGAACGGAAATTGTAATGCGACTCGTATAATTAAATATAACGCCAATAGGTATCCTCACAGTAAGGTGGCATTTATGCGTAATGACTCACGTATGAGAGTAGGTTAAGGTTACTGAAGTAAATCATACGTTTGGCAAACTTTGAGCCAGGGTGACCGCAATTATGTCCATTAATTTAGGACTAGGATTTAAGTCTGATTTAGGATCCACTTAACCCATTCGCGCCGGGTAAAAATGAACAAAAAATGGGGGAAATGCTGTGTTCATTTTTTATATTTTTTTATGAAATTTCTCTACACTAGATGGCTCTGCTTTACCGGATTTCATTTGGCGGGAAAATGTATTTTTACTAGTGCTATGAATATCGATGGTTATTTTTATTATAAACATTATAATTACTCTAATGTTATAAACATTAGTAACAGGAAAATAAGATAACGCAAATTAATTTTGTAAATTAAAGAAAAGGGTAAACAGACGAGACAGGCAGTACAAGTGCAAGTGGAGCCATCTATGTTTGTAAACAATCAAACAAGTAAACTCAAAGTGGGCCCGTCACGTATAGGTGACACCCGGCGCGAATGGGTTAATTAATCACAACCCGCTCACACTTTACATGTCGCCGTCATGTCGGGTAGATCCCATCGGTTTGTGATCATGATAAATTTCTGTAGGGCATTTCATGAGCGCCCATCATAGATCCGCAGACAGAGTGGGTTATTTATAGATTTTCCCAGCTCGTTTAAGCTTCATAAAATACGGCATTTTTGGGTCAGTCAAATGAAGTCTGCATGCCGGTAAAGACATACCTACTTCCTTTTATTATGAAATTTCTCTACACTAGATGGCTCTGCTTTACCGGATTTCATTTGGCGGGAAAATGTATTTTTACTAGTGCTATGAATATCGATGTTATTTTTATTATAAACATTATAATTACTCTAATGTTATAAACATTAGTAACAGGAAAATAAGATAACGCAAATTAATTTTGTAAATTAAAGAAAAGGGTAAACAGACGAGACAGGCAGTACAAGTGCAAGTGGAGCCATCTATGTTTGTAAACAATCAAACAAGTAAACTCAAAGTGGGGCCCGTCACGTATAGGTGACACCCGGCGCGAATGGGTTAATTAATCACAACCCGCTCACACTTTACATGTCGCCGTCATGTCGGGTAGATCCCATCGGTTTGTGATCATGATAAATTTCTGTAGGGCATTTCATGAGCGCCCATCATAGATCCGCAGACAGAGTGGGTTATTTATAGGTTTTCCCAGCTCGTTTA